TTGCGGCTGGCGTGGCGCCCGGCGGCCGCTTTCCGCCGATGCGCTCAAACCGCAGCCACGACTCCTCGATGCGCTCCTCCATCGTGGCGTTCTCGCCGTGCAGGGCGGCAGTGCGTGCGTAGACGTCCTGCAGCTCTTCGTTGATCTTCTGGTGGTGCACGAGCAGCTCGCGGTGGTCATTCCGCTTTGCCTTCGTGTTCTGCTTGTACGACGTCACGAACGACTCATTCTCGTGGAAGTGAATGCCGCGGTGCAGCGAGCGGGGACCCGGGATCACATTACGCCGCTTCACCAGTTGCCGCGTCGCGCGGCTGTTCAACGGCGGCATGCCAAAGCTGCTGCTGTGATGATGATTGCTACTGAGGCTGCTTGCTTCTATTGGTTTCGCCCCTGCTGCTGCTGCTGCTGTCGCCACACTACAGAGGCACAAGAAGAGAGATACTATATTTAGATACATACAACATATACAAGCATGGCAGCACACAGACACACACACACCGACACCGACAACTGAACAAAAAAGCAGACATCACACAGACACAAAAGTCCCACTCTTGGTGTGCCGGACCCACACAAATCATACGCAACAAAAGAGCATAAGAGGCACCGTCACAGAGACCACCATGGCCATCAGCTTCACCCTTACGGACTCTATCACTTCCACAGGATTCAGCCACAGCACGACCCGCGAAAAAAAAAGGCCACCGGCAGGCTCGAGGAAAATAACTCTTCCACGCCAAGAGCAGTATCCTCATCGGCTGCCGTTTGCCGCACCAGCTGCTCCCAGGAGCACTCACTTTGGTGATTGGGAGCAACGACCCTCGCCAACTGAACACTGCCACTGCTCTTCTCACACGCAGTGCTCACCACATCTGCCGGGCGCTGTATCTTCTCCCTCCACCAGAGGAGTCGACTAGGACCACTCTGGTGGCGTTTCATCTGTAACCGGCACCGCCGCACCTACCAGCACCTTATCCTCGTTATTGTATGGCATATTTTCACTATCGCTATTGACGTATGCCATACACTCGGCGTCAAATGGCGGAGAATGGTTGTGCCGCGGACTATTGAGCGATAAGCGGGTGCACAAACACGTGATCTGCGTCATCAAGAGGAACGCCACTCCTATTTCCGCACTCCAGCACCAATGGAAGGTGCCGTTTCAACTCGGAGAGAGCGTGGGAAAGTTCCGGCAGCCGTGGAAAGAGCATAAGGAGCGCAACGATGCGGTTGACTTGGTTCCAGCCACTGGCACTGCCATTGCTATTTGCTAGCTTCCTTGCCGTCGTCATCCCGGACCGACCTCTCCCCACTTGCCGTGTCAACAATTTTCCACACGGCCAACTAGTAGCGCCCGACGATGACGGCAACGGTGGCCAAACACAAGAAAAAAGACACGCGGCCACAGATACCTGTACCTCGAGCAGCGCACCTCGTTCAATTCATGAGAGAAGCCGAATCCATAGGGCGTGCATCCCGAAAAAGCGGCCAGAACCCTGCAATGCAAGTGGAGAAAACAACAACAACAACAACATCGGAGAAGCGCATCAAACGGATGTAGACAGAGAATAAACAAGGCGATACGGAGACCGGCAGAAGAAAATCGGAGATGTAATACCTCCATGCCTGTATGCATATATAAATCCATGCCCAGTGCTTGTGTACATATGTTTCTGCGGATACACAATAAGAGAGGGCAGAGGCTCAGAATTCCCGGAGCTCTTCCAGACGGATGTTAATTTCCGGTCGACGGAACGGCACGCCAGCGCCGCTTCTGCCGACGCTTCGGGGCCCGTCGAAGTGCGTGATGCCCATCCAACGCGCCACCTGCATCGAAATCCACGACGCGAACGCCATCAGCAGGAGCGCCACTGTGATTGCTTGGCACATCACCCACCAGTTGGATTTCTTCTTCTTGTGCAGCTCGTCCCACCCAATGTGGCCCTTCACATCGCGGAAGGTATGCGGGTCCTCACACATCGACAGCAACGAGACGGCCTTTGCCGAGGGGGCGAAGCCATCCAGAGTGTGCAGCACCTCCATGTAGAAGTCCTCTTCCTCTCGGCGGCTGCTAGTCGGGTAGTTTCTCCACGATGTGTCGTTCTCTTCATTCGCCTTTGCTGGGCTATTATTGGCTGTGACCTCGCCAGACCGAACACGACGGAGGAAGCGGACATTGTCGATGAGATTGGAGGCTGCCTGCAGGAGCGGTAACTTCAACAGCGCGGCCTCGGCCGCCTCGACCCTTTTGTCATCGTCTCCCACATCATCTCGGTTACTTCCGTCTTCGCTGCTGGTGCCAGCGGCAATTCCTGTTGCCGCACCGCCAGTGGCGGCGACATCGCGCGCGAGACTTGCCCAGCTCGGGTCGTTGCGGAGGCACAGCTTGAAGCAGAGATATCCGCACACGCTGTGGTACACGTCATCGCTTGTGAGACGCCCCACCACCGCCTTAGCGTGTTGCACATCGCCGTCAGCATCCTCTCGGCTCAGTTTGAGTGCCTGATATATCTCCTGTGCCACTGTCGCCTTCTGCGCGTAATTGAAGTACGGGTCTTTGATGCGACTCGCCTCCGGCTCTGTCTTGTGCACCACGTAGCGTTGGTAGTACTCCCACCAGAGATCTAGCACGGTGACGGTGTCACCAGCTGCACTGGGAGGACCGTCGGGCTTAAGGGCGCTCCAAAGCGCCCTATCAAGCGCGGTGATGGCATTCGCGTCTGCCAATGGGAAGTGCGGCCCATCGCGCACAAGCCGCACCTTAGACTCGGCCCCTCCCCTTTTCTTCTCATCGGCATCGTTCCACATCACCACGACATGCGCCGCCACCGCCGACGCCGCCACGGGGCTGTTTCGGTTCTTTTTTCTGCTACTTGCGATGCGCTGCGCCACCAGCTTCGCGCTGTGGCGGAGGCTGCGCCGGCTCAACTCTCCCACAAGCAGCAGGCTTGGGTTAACGAACGGACAGAACTGCGCGAACTCCAGGTAAATGAGAAACAGCTCGGCCGTACTGCTGCCGTTGTTGTTGTTGTTTTTATTGTCCCCTTCACTCCCCGGCGGTGACAGGAGGGAGAGGTGCATGGCGAGGTAGCAGCCGACGGCCACCTCGCCGTCGACGAATGTGACGCTGCCGATCCCGCGGTCCGCGTCGTATATGAAGTGCCGCACCTCACCGTAGTGGGTGAAGAAGCCTTGGATGAATGTGGCGGTGAATGACGCCTGATGTCCACGCGGAGGGAAGCCGGCAAAGAGCAACTCGCAGTACACGTCTGTTCCCTGCCCCACAGCCCCTTTGCGCTGTGAAGAGAAGCCACCGACAGGCATCGCTACGGAAATATATTCTGGCACAACCACCCTCCACACACACGACACAACAAGAGAAGCAACAACGACGTATTTACACACAGAAGTAGCGGGACACAAGGGGGAGATCAACATGCGAAAAAAATAAATAAATCCACATATGCCCACCATTGCGCCGACCAACGTGTTTTTCTTTTCAGCCAAGCGTGTATACAGGCCTGCACTAAATAACTCTCGCACACGCACATGGAACTAAACGCCCTCCAGGAGTCAAAAGCTACACGGAAGAAGGGGTAGACCGACAGACGGCTTAGAATAGTGTGATGCGCTTCCCCTGCGGTGTCAGTACGCGCCAGGATCAACTTCCTTCGCGTAGCGCATCTCCTCCTCGAGATGGGTCATCTCCTCCGGCGTCCACTCATTCGCGAGGTGCAGGTACTGCCGCACCCGCTCGGCGCCCTCCATGATGGACGGCGCGGCCTTCGAGATCTCCTCAATGCGCTGCGCCACGAAGGCGGCGAGAAGACCATGCAGCGCGTCGATGCGCAGGTAACAGCTGCACTCCAGCAGCGGCAGCAGCAAGTCGCACCGCTCCATGTCGCGCGCGAAGTCCATCTCCCACGCCTTGGCGAAGTGGTCGACCGGCGCGGTGAGCGGCTTCGGGATCTCCGCGACGCGCCGGTCGGGGTTCACGAGGTACGCCACCACGCCCTGCACGACGGCGGCGGGGAAGTCGAGCTCGACCGGTGGCATCTCGGTTGTGCCGCCCTCGTCGAGCGCCGCGAGGCCCTGCAGCAGGCCGATCTGCTGCCACGCGATGGCGCCCGGCACCGTGACACTCACACCGTCAGCCGAAACAAGCGTCACGCCACACACAGACATGCCACTGCTACCGTTGCACGTGTGTGCCTTTCTGTTCAACAGTCGCTCCTCCTTGACCCCCGAACTCCTTCCAAAAGATATATTCACACACACACACACACACACACACGCAAACCCTCACGGTATGTATGTATATGTATGCACGTGTAACTGCACTGACTCTTGTGCCCTTTGGTCCCGCAGAATAACTTCAGGAGAATTGGTGTATGTGATAGATAGAAGGATAAATGGATAGGGACGAAGTGACCCACACGGAAGAGTGAGAGAAAGAGAAAGAGAGAGTATATATATATATATATATCTGTGTGTGTGTGTGTGTGTGGGTAAAGTGAAGGAGCAAGCGTCCGTACACGCAGCGTAATCAGCTGCAACGCATAGAGGCACATAGGTGAGGCGAAGGTAGACAGGTGTATGTGTATCTTTGTTCTTTGCATGTGCGTGTGCAGGCGCGCGTTTGTCTGCCTGCTTGAGCGCCAAGAGGCTTCATTTGGGTAGGGTCGCACCGAAATGCGTTTTTTCTGTTTTTAGCTGTAGCAGCTCCCCCCCTCCCCCGCTCTTGGTGAGATGCAAAGGAAAGGATTCGCTGCCCCGCATTCTTCGTGACCTGTACCGACACGCCAACATACTGCACGTGTGAGGGGGTGAGGGGAGAGACGGCGGTGGCAGCGACGNCCCCCCCCCACAGCTGCACACAAACACACACAGACACACACACAAAAAGGCATTTGCTTCTCTCTGCGTCATTTTTCTGGAGTCTTCGCCCCATAGTTTCTCTTCGCATCTCTTGCTATGCTTCACTTCCTCGTTACTCCTCGGCTCCAGCGGTCACGTCATTTCTCACATTACGAAACCCGTCTAGCGCTCTCACCAGAACCAGCCAAACGGAACACGGTTTTTGTTGTTGTCACCTCTTGCTTTCTCCCTCTCTCTCGCTCTCCCAGATATATATATATATATATATATATATATATATGTATTTCTTCTTCCCTCGCTGTCTATCCCTCTTCCTCTCTGCGGGTTTGTGCATTTGGGTGTGACCCCAGCAACAGACCCGCCACACACCCCCGCAGCAGCCAGCCCACACCTCTCGCCTGTTTCCCTCTCGCACTCTTTGGAGTTGCTGCGCCTCTATGCCCCCCGTTCTCTTCGGCTTCTTATGGGAATAGAAGAGTGGCCAGCGTGCGGTGCGGCGGCTTCGCATCCGAAATGGCAACCAAACCCGCATCCCTCCCGCCGCATATGTTTCTCTCTCTCTGTGTATGTATGTGTGTGTGTGTGTGGGGGGGGGCCTACTCCTCCTCGTTGGCGGGCCATTCATTCTCGAGCTTCAGACAGTCCAACTCCCGCTTCGTCCAGTCGCTGCGCACGTGGAAGCACTGCCTCACCAGCGCTGCCGCCTCGAAGTAGTCGATTGAAGCGTAGCTCACACGTATCATAAAGTCAGCACACCACGCCGCGCACAGGTTCTGAAGCGACGATATCTGCAGCACCCCCGCCGCCCGCATAACGTCGACGAGCAGCGCGACGCGGCCGGAAGCCGGCGGCGCGGCCAGCAGTGCTGTGCAGATGTCAGGGTTGCGCAGAAATGGCGCAGGGTGGATGAAGCTCATCGTTGGCGCGTGCTGCGTGATGGCCATTGCGAGCGCCATCTGCTCGTCCGTGTGGCCAAGGATGCCCCGGTAGAGAAAGTTGCGCTCCCACGGCGTGAGGAAGCAGACGAGCGGGGCGGGCAGTGGCTCCGGTGTCGGTGTCGGGTGCAGCCGCTCCTTCTGCTGTCCGTCGCCGGCAAAGTGGCGCAGGTACTCCGCGCAGAGTTGCACCGCGTCCGACACGAGGGACGGGCGTTGTGGCTGCTGGTTCTCATCCTCATTGTTTCCTGTCGTGCGCATGGCGGAGTCCATTTGATTTGTGCTGCCGCTCACCCCGGATTTCACGCTGACAAGCGGTGTTGGAGACTGTGACGTGCGGCCTGATGGCTGGCACAGCGTCTGGCTCTGCGAGACGGATTGTAAAGGCGTGCTATGAATATCCGCCTCCTCCGCTCCACCACCACCAGCAGCATGAGGCAAGTTTGGTGGCAGACAGCTCTGGAGTTCAATAACTATCTCCCTATCAGTGATGCGGGCGCACTGATGCAGAGGTCCAGCTACCACGTCTTCCACTAGGCCACCGACACCACAAGCCGCAGCGTCACCGCCACTACTACCCGCATTATCTAAAGTGTTGCTACGCAGACTTGCCCGATGTCGCCCACTATGTGCGCCACCGAACTCCGTGTTCTTTCCACTAAACAGTGCATTCGGGCTTGCCGGTTCAGCGCCACTGGCAGGGGACGTTCGTTCTCTACTTCTATTATGTGGCGTCACATCTTCGCTAATGGACGAGGCGACACTCCCACCGAGCAGCAGGCCGTCGTCCTCGTCGCAGATCATGCAAGGGGTGCGCTGGTGATAGCTACTAGGGGAGGCATGCTCATCGTTGGTGAGGCTATGCGGCGAGATCATGGGCGGCGGAAGTGGAGGCATGCGGTCCGCGCCGAGAAACCGCTCTTCTTCGTCGCCCGCCGCGGGGACGTCGGCGAAGACGGTGACGGAGTCGCGCCGACGCACCACCGGTGCTGATCCACCGCTTGACGACGGCGGAGCGGCGTTGGCTTCGACCAGGTTGTCGGTGCTGCCAGTGTTCTCGCTTCCGTCCCTCCTATTATGCGTGTCACTGGCGTCTGCTGTGGTGGGGGCTACAGGTGACGTGAGTGGGCGGGCATGTGCGGTGGGTGAGATGGACTCTGCCAGCAGCGGTGCGTCGCTGCTTGTGCTGAGCAGCTGCCGCGGCGGCGACGACTCGTCGAGCTCTGTGTCGTCGTCGTTGTCGACGTCCTCCTCGTCGAGGGTGCTCGGCGTGGCGCTGTCCTCTTTATTCACCGCAACCAATTCTCTGCTGCCGCTGCCGCTGCTGCTCCTGTTGCTGTTGTGCAGAACAAGGTGCTCCGGCGTGGCGGAGCCATTCTCGTGGCTCTCCCGCTTTGACTTCACGCTGCTGCCACGTCGCGATGCTCTTCTGCGGCCACGCGACGTCGTGGCTGCTGTTCGCGTCGGCGTCTCTGGTGAGGGGCACGGCGATGGCGTGCGGCTGCCGCACTCTTCATCGAGAATACTCACCGTGCGGTCCGTGTCATCCTCGTTATTATTATTGTTTCGGTACTCTTCCGTGCCGTCGTCATCATCGTCTGGGTTCCCCAAGACACTGCGTGTGCGACTCGTTTCATCGTCGTCGTCGTCGTCGTCGTTGATGCGGTCGGGTGTGCGCTCCGAGTCACTGCTGCTGCTGCTGCTGTTGGAGCCGTTCGTGTTGGCGTTGTCGTCGTCGTCGTCGTCATCCTCCGGCGGGGGTGGCGGCGGGCCGTACGCCTCCGTCCAGTTGTCTAACGCACGTCGCACGACGGCCGAGAGCGCCGCGGCCTCCTCCGGCACCGCAATTCTCGTGCCATCGCCGGCCTGCAGATATATGACGGGCATGCCGCAACTACACACAGACACACTACCTCTTTCTCTCGCCTTTCTGCTGCTGTTGCTGGTGTAGTCCTACAGCCAGTCCGCTGTTCTTTTCCAACCCACCCCCTCAAGAGCTTCAAATGTGCTGATTTGCTCTTCTTCTGCTCTATTCGCGGGCTCTCACTCCTGGCAGTCGCTTTCCCTCCTTCTCCTCTGGCTTTGCTCCGCCGGTTTACGTGTGCAAGACCCTTGTTTCTTCGTTCCTTGGGGAGAAAACACAGACACACACACACACAGACATAGAGGGATAGAGAGACAGCGTGAAGAGACACAGACACATACAAATACACACACACAGAAAACACATATGGGTACAAGTATACAGCAGCAGCAGCAGCAGAAGCCGCAATGCCCGCAGTGAGGGAGGGAGTTGCATACGTGTCCTGTCTTTCCTCAAAAAAGTCCCCACCTCATTTAGACTCGAGCAGACTGCGGTGCCGCTTCGATTCACCGACGGTGAACCACTGCAGCTCGCCACGGCGGCAGTAAGCCTCTACACGCGCACTTGTGACGCACCGCTCTTCAACAGCTGTACCCATGTCAGCATCAGCAGTGACGTGAAAGACGTTCAGCACGAGTGAGGCCAAGGGCACGTGGAAGGCACTCGTGTTCCGCGCCAGAAATGCAGCAAGCTGACGACGGTAGTTACCGTTGTTGTTGGTGGGGATGCGGCGGTGCAGCCTCCGCGCCTCCGCCACCGTGTCACTGTAACTGTCGTATTCATTGTCGTCGTCCATATCCTCCTCGTCCTCGTCCTCGTCGCTGCTGCTGCCGCCATTGCGTCGATGGCGGTGACTTCGCACCGTGGCGGG